GACATGTTGAATAATGTGAGTCATCTCTCTTATGCCGCCGTTGTAGCTAATTTGGGCTGTTTTTTTGCGTTTTTACTCCACAACTAACTCCGGATAGTTTGGGTTGTCAATATCGTCAAAATTAATGTAATTTCTTATGGCTCTCATTCTTAACGCGTCATTTTCAAATTTGGCAAGGTGGTCGGTCAGTATATATTTTATCACATTAAAAATGTCGAAAATGAAATGATCAAGAATGTAAGGAGATAGGCATTTAGAGTTGTTTGTAAATATGGCAAATTTTTGTTGAGATAAAGAATCCATTAAAGGATCAAGGCGAGTGGTTAGCTGTGGTAAAAAGTTAACAAAAAGATCCTCATCGAAAGCAGGATATAAGGAAAAGTCCTTAACATTATTAATGCCGAGACCAATTTGCTTCAAAATACCAAAAAATCGTTCGTTCTGTCTGTAATTGTAAGGGAGGTTTGGTAAATCTCTACCTACAGTTATAGTGTAGTCAGTTGGCAGTTCAAGGATTGATGGTTATTCCTGCGTGTTAGATGGTTGTGGAGCTGGTTGTGGAGTTGAGGCTGCTTCTGGAATTGGTTCTGGTACCATTTGTACTGGTTCAGAAATTGGTGGTGTAGCTGGTGGGCATGCTAGTGGAGTTGGTGGAGTTTCTGGAATTTGTGGAAGTTCTGGAGCTGCATTGGGTTCTGGTTCTGGTTCAGATGCGGCTGAGGCAGACTCTCCGTCAGTAATTCCACTGTCAGTTGTATTCTCTACTTGGTTCAAGGCCTCAGAAAGTACTTGATCTGGTACTCGAATCAGGCGCGCCTGAGGGAATGAAGGTTTGAGTAGTGCTTTTATCCTGTTGAATTCTGCGATTCTTTCTTGAATACTCATCAGGATGTCGCTGACAGCTTTATTTTTTGGTGCAGTTTCATCACAGAAAGGCGACTGCCTTTTAGCTTTTCTTCTAAAACAAGAAAAAAGTGTGAAGTTTTTTCAAAAAAAATAAAAAAAAATTTAAATTTTTTTTTTGAAACAAGTAAAAGGTATTTAAACGAAATGAACAGTATAAAAAAAGATAACAAAGAAACGACAGTACATACGATCTTGGCACTCTTTTGGACTGTTCGAGCAAAGGGATGTTGTCTTCTTCCTCACTGAAAGCTTCGTCAATCGCTTTCTTTACTGCGTCAATTGCTTTCTTTACTGTGGTAACTTCGTCCGTTTTTCCTAGCATTGCTTCAGCCATTTTGACGGAAACTAGACTTTCCTAGCAGAATTTTGAACGTTGAGAGGGCAGGTTGCAAATTGTTGAACTTTGTTGGGAAAGTTTTTATAAAGATAGAGACATTACGTAATGGCGTTACACGTGAAACCATTTGATTGGTTAAGTGTTTCAACAACAAAAAAGTCATTGATTTGATTGGTTTTTTAAGCGTCTATTGTTAAAAGGGAGTGTCCATTGTTTAAATTGAGATAAGGAAAAAAACTTCAAATTTATAAAAAACTTTAAGTTTTTAATTTGAAGTAACTTCAAGTTTTTGGTTTTATAATTATTTTGGGTAACTTCAATTTTTTTTTGAAAAAATAATAACTTCAAATTTTTTTCTAAGGGAAAAATTTGTCTCAGTGACACTTAGAATTTTTTTTTTTTTTTGGAAAATTTACGTTTTGATTTAAAAATAGTCTTAAATTAGCATACAAAACTTCGATCTGGCTATAAAAATACGATTTGACGGGTCTTTTGGGAAAAGGTTACAATTTGATTTTGGGTATGGCAAATCGTTTGGTAACTTATAAACATCTACAATCTCAACTTCGAATTTGTCAATCTGATTTAATTGAAGTTCAAATGCGGATGAAAGAAATTATGGATAATATGAACAAGGAAAGAAGTCAACATAGAATTGAGAAACTCAAAAAACATTTTACACATCAAGTTTCAAAAATTGGTAGTTAAAAGGGAAAAAGATAAAAAGAAAATTACTTATTTGAGAACAGCCAATAAACGATTGAGAGACATTGTTCATACTTTAACGAAAAGAAGACAATTGACAAAGCAATTTAAGAAGAAAAAGACTTCAGATCTTTAACGTGACTTTTTTTTATTATGAACGAAAAATTAGTATAGTTTAATTGATTAATATATCTATTGCGAAAATATGTTTTTTAAATGAAATGAAAAAGTATTGTAAAGAATTTCTTGTATTAATTGATCGTTTCTTACATACCATTGATTTCTATAACTAAACGGGCAAGAATTTTTGTCTTCTTTTGACTTAAAATAGAAGAAATTTTTACAAAAAAACTATAGGTAATAATAGCCGGATCTCTAACTTTTAAAGATATATTTTAAAGAAAACAATTACTATATTCCTCACAAACGTTAGTGTTGTTTTCTTGAATTTGAGGATCAAAATATCTAATTGTTTCACTAGTTTTAACTATTTTCGCGTCTTCTCTACCTTGTTTTAAAGTATCTACAGTCATATGTTTGACAGCTGATCGAATGTTAAAATCTTATAATTCAAAGTAATAATATAAGGTACTTATAAGATATTCAAATGCGGAAAATAATATATTAGGTTTTCTTTCGTAAGAATCAAACAAATATGACATTCCAAGTCTATCGAAGTATAAAGCTTGCCAATGTTATCCACCGTTTTGATGGTCACCAGTATTTAGAAGAAAACCCAATTGGGAAACTTTTATCATTATCTTTACTATCTTGTAAAAATGTTGTTATGACGAAGGTTTTTGTTGACTGAAAATTGTGTAATACAATCATCTTCCGTAAAACCCCCACCGTATTATTTTTCTAGATCAGGTGTTGAAAAAAGGCATTTTTCAATAACAGACTTGCCAAGTACCACGGTTTTGCCGTGGGACCCACGGTTTTTAAAGAAAGCCCACGATCTCACGGTTGGTCAGGAAATTCTCACGGTTAAGGTGGCAGCGGGAAACAAAGGGGACTCATGTTATAAGTCTAAGAAAACATGGCAACAAAGCGAAAGTTCTACAAGAGCAAATTTAGTCAAAGTTGGACCGAAGAATACCCTGTTCGAGCAGTTTCAGGTGATCCTTATAAATTTTACTGCATTCCTTGTGGTAAGAAGTTGTCTTGCGATCATCAAGGAGTAAAGGATGTTTCAGACCATTGTAAAAAGGACTCGCATAAAGCTAATGTTGAATCTTCAAAAAGCCAATCTTCAATGAAGGGCTTCTTGAAAAGTAACGATTCAAAATTTGATGAGCAAGTATTAAATGCAGAGGTCATGATGACAAACTTTTTGGTTCAACACAACATTTATTTGTTTACTGCTGATCATCTTTCTTCACTGTTCAAGGAAGTTTTTCCATATGTTAATAGATCCAGAACAGTGACAACGCATTTTTTGGACATGTGTGTAACATCGGGTGTGGGCAGTGCCACTGCAGAAGGTATATTTACTGCTATTGAGGAAGTTTTTGAGAACAATCGAATTCCTTGGGAAAATTGTGTAAGCTTGAGCGTGGACAACAAAAATACTATGATTGGGAAAAACAATTCCATTGCTTCAAGATTTCTGGAAAAGAGTCAAAATGTTTTTATTGCAGGCTGTCATGTCATCTTGCGCACATAGCTGCAAGTAATTCCCATGATGCATTTAGTGAATATATTGGGCTCAACATAGCAAATTTCATGGTAGACTTATTCTATTGGTTCGATAAAAGCGTTAAGCGGAAGGGTAAACTTAAAGAATATTATGAGTTTTGTGATCAAGAATACCAAGGTGTTTTAAAGCATTTGTCTGTTAGGTGGTTATCTTTACAAATATGCATATCAAGAGCAACTTTGAAATACACTAGCCTCAAATCTTACTTCCTAAGTGAGAACTTCCTTGATGAAAGATTTCAACGCCTGAATAAAAAATTTAGAAATCATCTATTGGAACCAGCCATGCTCTTCCTCAGTTCTGCATTACCACTCTTTACACATTTCAATCAACTTCTGCAGAGAGAGGAACCCACAATTCATATTCTGAAACCTGCTATGGAAAGCCTTGGGAAAAAGCTGGCTAAACGTATTATGCACCCAGGCAAAGTCAAGTGTATCACTAATGTTTCTGAAATGGATTTAAATGACTCTGAAAATTTCATTGAAACTGAAGATATCTATCTTGGAGTACTGACAAAAAGAACATTGAAGAAATTATTAGATGGTGATATATCTGAACAACAATATAAAGACTTTCACGATGCTGTGCATTACTATTTCAAGTTGTCTCTTCAGTATATGAAAAAAAAATTTCCGTTGAATAATCCCGTTGAATAAATAGATAGCCTACTTTTCATTTGGAATTCATGTTTCTTTTTAGTTCTTTTAACTTTTTATGATGTGATTGAACCCGTATTAAGACCTTTTTGTGTTTATAAAATCATTAAAAAAGTTGTTTGACTTTTCTCAAGATTTTTCTACAAAACTCAAGGTTTTTAAAGAAATTTTTAAGAAATCTCAAGGTTTTGCACCCACCAAACTTGGCAGGTCTGCAATAATTGAATAATCTCTATTTGCAACGCATACTATTTACTTTGTGAGATTACTGCTTAGTGAGTTTGTCAAAGATTCATCCAAAAGTGGAACATTATATAAAGATGTGAATGATTTACTGTCCTCAATCTTTTCACAGTCAGTCGTAAATGATTCATATTTATCAGTCCTTTTTTGACTTGGAATAGGTGTCAAACACATCATCTCAACGTCCCGTAAATATTTTTGTAATTGTATTTTCAACAAAAACGTGTTACGAGTAATAACTTCTAACAACCTTTCAATAGATAACCTTTCATCTTCAAGTTCTTCTGGAGAATCAAATCCATATACATCCTTTGCCATAGATGATAGTGACAACTTCGCCATTACATCGAACTACAGTAAAAGTTCTAGTAACAATGCTGGTATTTCCGAACATCAAACCATCAGCATGATGACTTTCATGCACAATTTTTCAAGAGGGTTGAAAGGCAAATGCTTTTTCTAAGAAGATAGTGAAAAGAAAACTAAATACAATTCAAAATATCTTCTTGTTACCATGCAGAGTCATACTATGATTTTCAAGATATTTGGTTTAAAAGACTAAGACTTTGCGAAAATTCTTTAGAAGGTGGAACTTTTGATGAAAAATACGCAGATAATGAAATGGAATTATTTGGTGAAAAATATAAAACCTTGATGACATTTCAAGAAAGAATAACTATACCGCAAAATTATGTTTATACTTCATACAAAGAAGATGAAGTTTTACCAGCATTAAAAAAAGAAATAGCCGATGATTTTGTTCAATTTTTTAATACAGTTTTTTTAACACGAATGTTCGGATTTAATCTTCAGAATCCTTTAACCGCGAAAAAAATGAGACTTCTTATACCAATCTTTAGATTAAAAAGCAGATATACAAACTGAAGCAAAAGATTTGTTTGAAATCGATTTTTTCCGCCCATTAGAAAAGGGTGACAACAGACTTGACCCAAGTGTATTTAGGATATTTTGAAATTATAAGAATGTCAAGAACTTTATATTTATTGCTTGGTTTAAATAATTTACAAAATACTAGAAAATTCCCAATATACAAATCAAAGCGGTAAAGAGGAAGTTATGAGAAATTTAACACCTGAAACATTTTTTAATCCACCAATACAAAATCCAAATATGAAAAGATCTGGCTTTTGGTGTTCAGTTTTGAATGAATTAGACACCAAATTTTTTTTTTAAAAATTTATCAAAGTTTTTCTGATGATTAACTATATACAGGAGGAAATAAACCTGAGGAAGTTTATAATTATACTTATGCAAATTTTGGACAAGAGGATAATGGCAAAGAAGATTATGTGGATTTTTTTGTTGGATCTTTATTGAATGCAAATTATTCTCGGGCAGATACAGTTTACACAACATTCAAACATAACCCAAATATGAAGTTTTTGAAAAGAGGAATAAGTTGGAATGTAAATAATTATTTACTAAACCCAACTGGAGGTAATTTTGAATTAATATCAAAATTAATTCACGAGAACATACTGTCGGGAAAAAAACAATCTACACTTTTGTCTTCTCACATTCCATTACATATAAAAAAATATATCCCGATTCTATTTTCCTGTTGAAATTAAAAGACCGATGTATTCTATGATTACAAATAATGAACAAGTAATTTACGAATTCAAAACAGTTTGGAAAATGTTATCGACATTTCGTTTAAATAAAACACAAGAAGATATGGATATGATTCAAGAATTGTTTAACAACAATCAAACAAAAATCAAACAAGCATCGAATTCAATTATCTTGTTCTTATTAAAATACTACGCTCAAAACACAGAATGGACAATAGAAATGATTTGATATTAATGCGAAAAGTGCGAATTACCGAATTGGATAAAGATGTTGGAATTTCTGACGATACCCAATTTAAGACCAGCTTCAGCGCGTCTATAGATTTATTTCCAGCTCCTTATACTTTTCTTACTGGTGAAAACAGTGGAGAGCCTTTGCAGCAATTTTATAGCTTTTGTTGAAGATCAAAAATTAATTACAAAACCAGAAACTTTTGTTATAACAATCGATAAATGTTCAAGATATCCAATTTTGAACGATATAACAAAAATACATGCAGGACATGATAAGTTGCATTCTATTATTGATAAATCTATTATTTTTCTGGAATTTGTATACCGAACTTAAATAAACCTGAAAGTATTCGTAAAAGTATTAATTATCAAGGTAACTCTTTTTTAATAAAAAACAAAAATATAATTTTTACAAAAGTTTATATTAATCCAACAAACCAATTTGATTTTAAATCATTACGTTTAAACTGTTTAAAGCTAAATCCTTCCACATTAAATCTTGAAAAATTTCCCTATAAAATAAACCATTTTTCTTGTATATTATTAATTTGTAATAAAACTTGTATATTAAATGTAACAAAAAGCTACTTTTTATTCAGTCGAAAAATGTTTTGTTTTACCTACGGTTAAAACAGCACAAACAGCAGAATTACCTTCCTATTCTTTTTACGAAATCGAAATTTCAATAGGACAATGGAAATGTTATCCCATAGTATACAAAATAAATATTACAATTTAAAAGCTGCTAATGAAATACAACGAAAATATGGTGGAGAACCTATAGCTCCAGTTTCAAGAAAAAATTTTTTTAAACTTGTCGATCGTTTACACCCTCCAGGACCTAACCAAAAATATCACCGTTTAACTGCTGAACAATTTGTTTATGCACTTAATCATATTTTTTCAAAAACTGAAATAGATAATGCGTCAAAAAACGAAACCGGTGATTCGTGTTCACATTATTGGGGTTTTCAGCTTTGTCCGTCAGAAGATCCATTTGGGATGCAGATTGAGGATTTGCTTTGTGAAGTGGGCAATGCCGTAAGAAATTATTTGCCTGTTGTGTCTGCTTCAACAGAAGAACTTTGGAAAGAAACTTCTATTGTGGAAAATTCGTGTTGTAGTAATATTGATATTGAAAACGAAGTTGGTATTGCAGAAAAAACTGATGGTTTTGCAAATCCTCTTTCATGTAATTTGCAGTATAAAATAGACTTGTGCATAGATGCTTCTCATTATTCCTACAATTGGTACAAAGTGAATTCAGATCATTTCATGCTTTGGAAAAAAGGACAATTACTAAACATCGATAAAGAAAGAAGAGCAAATAGGGCCATGTTCTCGCTCTTTTTACTAGAAGATATAAGAAACACAGAAATTTTAGGCAGAGGTGACTATCTTAATCGTCCTCCAGGGGATGAAGACAATGATTCGCTTAATTCAACTTTGGATGAGCTAGAAAAAGAATTGAGTGAAGATTTGGTTGTGGATAATGATGAGTCTTTCGATTTTATTGAATGCATGAAACAATTAACGATTTGTGAAACAGATAAATCTATCGAAGAAGAAGCTGAATTAATTAAACTAAGCGAATTACAAACATTAAAGAAAACTGCAAAATTAGTTAACCATCATTTTACAAATGGTCATACTAGTTTTTTTAATGCTGAAATGGAAAAAGGGGTTCATGAGGAAACATCTGAAAGCTCTTCATTGATAGAATATAGACCTGATAAACAGTTGGCTCATGAACAATGTTTTACACCAAGGAGAGAAGTAGTTTCGAAACCAGTAGCTGGTGATTAAAATTAATGTTGATCAAAGTTTATATGCTGAAGATGTTTGTGCAGCTTGTTTTGGACAAACTTGGTAAACCTTGCAGCATAGATTGTTATGGTAAATCCTTATGTCGTTTTATGATGAGAGAACGTTTTGAAGAGCCTTTACCAAACGCTATCGGAAAATGTATCATGAAAAGGAAAGTTGTTGGAGAAGGCGATAAGGATCCTTATGCTTCAAGATGTCTGGAACTTCGTTTGTCGTTGATGCCTTATGTTAGTTATGCAAATTTTGAAGGTGTTATGCATACACAACCAGTTACAAATTTTTCTCAAGTTTTGGACCAAATTCGAAATACTTTATCCGAATTAGATCCTTGTCGTGGAACTGTTTGTGACAATTACAAAAGAAAAGGAAATTCTGTTTTACAAGACGTTTTGGAGGATGTAGATAAAGATTTGAATTCGTTTTCGATTTTGCCTACAACTTTAATGAAAGATATGGACAAGAATTTTACGAGTACTAAATTTCATTACAAATGTCGTGAACATCACCATCTCGAGTTGATCCCTTCGGATAATGTTCAAGCAAGGATTGATGCAGTTGAGACATGTCCGATTTGTTTAAAAGATATTATTACAAACGAATCTAGAGAAAGGATTTTCTTATTAAATTGCGGGCATGTTTTAGTAGTATATACCAAAGTTCCTCCTATTGCATATTAAACCTAGCGCTCCTGCGTAGCGCCCTTTGAAGCACGTGGGTATGCGGCTCCGCAGCGGCAAAAAAAATTTTACCTTCTTTTGCTTGTTTGTTGAAAACAACCAAACGTAAAAGAAATCGCTGAGAACGCACCTTTCCAACCAAAACATCATTCTCTCCTCTCTAACTATATTCTATGATTTTTGTTATTTCCACAACTTTAACTGATTAAATGTCTTTGTAAATTTGTATGTGGCGTCTGTATCGCGAGAAAATGGATGAGGAGGATGTCATTCAACTAAATGGTCAGGTTGTATCATGGATCCCAAACGATTTGCATGTTTCATAATGATAACACTTTATAAAACATGTAAATCTTTTGGGATCCATGATACAACGTGAGCATTTAGTTGAATGACACCTTCTTTCATCCATTTTCTTACAACATAGTGGCCACATACAATTTTCACGATGACAATTCATCAGTAAAAGTTGGTGATGATAACAAACTTCATAGAGCATAGTTAGAAAGTAAAGAGTGATGTTTTGATTAGAAAAGCGAGTTCTCGGCGATGTATTCTTTTACGATATAAATGTTTTTGCTTGATTTTTTTCAGCTTCTTTTTCCATATCTGTTTTTTTTAAAAAAATGTTGCTTGTACTAAATTATAATATGATATAAAAAATTGTATTTTTTTTGTTTTAGTTGTTTTAGAAGAGTTGAACCACTATCAAAATGTTGAATTCTAAATTTCAAGCGATTTTGTTGCTATGTTGTTTTTCTTATATTTGCTGTTTTGATGAAGGGATAAAAATTAAGAGTTTTGACGTTGAGGTTGGATCTTCCGAGGATGCAAACGAATTGGCTGTTGCTATGAGAAAAATGCTGGCTTATGACAGATTTCTTCACATAGAATTTCAAACATCGAGTTTTTGTCTTGGGAAGAAAGTGATTATTTCTGTATTCACAGATGATGAGCAAATATTTAAGAAAACTAACTGCTGCGAAAGACCCGAAATTTCCTGGG